TTTGCGGTTGCACCTAAGAGTTTTCGTTATTATTCATTTATCCGTTTTTTATCTTTTATTAACTCATTTTTTTTTAAAAATACTTTTACCCTTTTTCGGATGTTCTACATCCGAAAACATGATTTAGAAAAAACGTTCACTTTTCAATTTTCAGATATTGAACATCCGAAAATTTGGGATTTTCAGATGTTAAACATCCAAAAAGAGCGGGACAGTGAGTAAACTTTTTCCGCCTTATTTTCTGCACTTTTTTCATTCTTTCACAATGCATCTGCATTTTTCTCATTTTTGATAGTGTGATTGACATGTGTGCCTTATTAGTAAAGAATAGCAGTTAGTTTTTATATTTTGATTTTTCAATAGTGTACATCTTTGGCGGATGCCATTTTTTGGATTTTGAAGCAATTTCACATTGTAAAGGTATGTGAGTTGATTCTTTATTTAGATTGCCACCTGAATTTTGGTTAGGGGTTATACTCAAGCATACTAATTATTTGTTGTGATTTTAGTATATATTGAATTAATTAGTGGCTCCATTGTGATTGAATTAGATATTTAAAATTTGGGGGTTTTGAGAACTTGGAATTTTGGGGTCTCTGTATAATTATAAATTACTTAAATTTGGGGGTTTATACTCATAGATAGTCTTAAGCACAGATTTGTGTTAGATTTATTGATATTTTAGTAAATTGTTGATTTTTGTAGTTGATAGATTGAGTAGCTTAAAAAATAAAATTTGTATGTGATTTATGATTCAAGTACATATTTACTTTGAATATTTTGCAAAGTATTTAATGAGTGAATTTATTTGAATTATGATTTATGATTTAAGTAACAATGACTACATTATTTGAATATTTTGGATTTAATCTATTGCTTGTATTATAAGTAGCATTGTTCTCTGTTATTGTTTGAAATTATTGCTTGAAGAATTTTTTCTTTTATGATGGAGCCGTTTGTCTGTCGATAAATCAATTTCTTTAGTTTTTTATTGAACTGCATGGTTTTTTAATGGATTGGTTACTGAGCTAACATGAATTCTTTGTTTTTCATAGAATGATTTAGTTGCTTATGAAAGTTGGATTCTTGTCTTTACAATGAAATCATCTGTTGTTTATCAATGTTGAATTCCGTTGAAATAATTTTGTTACTCATTAAAGTTGAATTCTTTAGTTTTTTTGTCGATGATGGTTACTTGGAAGGGGAATGCTGTGTTTTTTTTTTTTTATTCATCTAGGTTTTTGTTATTGTTTAACTGAGGTCCATTGAATTGGACTCAGTGTAGTATTTCACGTGGTTTTGAATTTATTACTAATAAAAGAAGTAGATGAGGATTGTGCATATCTGGTTAATTAAGGGGTTTGTATAGTAGTTCTTCAAGTAGAGATCTTAAATTGGATTTAAGAACTGAATAGGGGACTGTTATTTCGTTGTAGCTAATTATGGAAGTTGTTTAGTGGTTTTTGAATAACCCTTTGAATTCTTCTTAGTTGTCTGTTTGACTCAAATAATCAATTCTTTATTTGGCCACCATATTCAATGATTGATTTCGATTTCAAGTATACGATCCTTAGTTGTACTAGCATAGTAATTTCATTTTAGCATTGTCCTTCTTTCATCAATGGATTGTAGCAATGTTCTTCTTCATCAATAGTATGTCATTATTGTTTTTTGTTATCTAGTTAATTTTTACATGTGTAACCTTGTGATTAACATGGTGACCATTTGGAATTTCAGTGAATATGGATCGTTTACATCCCAATGGAGGATATCCAGGAGGTCCTCAGGACCCTAGTTTGTTACAACTTCATCCAGAACATTGCTCATATTAAATACGGGAATGACAAATACGTGAATATATTGATCTTCCCATTCTATTTATTTATTAATTTTCAATAAATGGTAGTCTGGTTCAAACATCCTATGGAAAGTACATGTATATATATTGATTCTAATATGTTGTTTATTTGTTGTATTTCAGGAGAAAGAAGAAATTAGAATTGATGAGAAGAGTTATCAATTTAATGCATGGAAATTAACAAGAGAACAAGTTCAGTTAGTTCATGCTTCTGGGTTGGGTCCGTTGGCTATCATTCAGCCAAGCCGAAATTGGTCATTCTTTGCTCGCAGCTAATATAGAGAGGTGACGTTTTGAGACCAACACCTTTCATTTCAACATTCATATTAGTGAGATGACACCAACACTTTTTGATGTATACGAGATATTAGGACTGGATGTGGATGGCGACCCAATCACATGTCGTTCTATCAAGGACCTGCGAAAGTTTATAGAAGATAATTTGGGTATAGTCCTTGATGGCAACTTGGCAAGCCTGAGGCATACATAGCTGACGGTAAATTTTAGGGAATTGCCACCTGATGCAACCGCAGTTCAAGTTTATAGATATACTCGAGCATATCTATTCTTCCTCATCAGTGTAACCATATTCACTGATGCATTTAGTTTCAACAGTGCCAACAAGGTACCTACAGTTTTTCGAAGATATTGAGGGTGCCAGCACATATGTTTGGGGTGCTGCAGCCCTTGCAGTCCTCTATTGCTCACTTGAAAAAGCTTGCACTTTCAAGCGAAGACAATTTAGTGTATCAGCCACTCTCATGCAGGTAACCATTGGTTTTGGTATATGACATAAGCGTAATAGTTTAGACTGCTTTCTTAATATATTTAATATTTATCATACTCAATTTATTGTAGTGCTGGTCATATGAGCATATTATGCATATGAGGCCCATACCGCATAGTATCCCCCCAAATATGCCTAAGGCCAAAGATGGGAGCCATCGAAGAAATATCATGGCAATCCACATAACTAAATGCCCCCCATGAGACAATAAATTGATAACCTCTAACCTAATGAGGTTATTATATAATTTGATATTGATTTCTTTCAATAATATTTAAGTATTTGTAATTATTTTTATTGACTAATTACATATCATATAACAAGTAATCTGGAATCCCTATTTCAACCATGATGAGGTCATTTCAGATGATAGGCAGCAGGCATTTCAAACTGCAATGTGTCCTACAACTTTGATATTTGATGATATTAATCAGTCGTACATGCCAGATCGAGTATGCCGGTAATTTGGAGCAAAACAGGGTATTTCAAGGAATCCCTTGGTTGTTAGTAAGAGGGCAAGCAGACAAGTTAGACAGCGAGACTGGTGAAACATCAATGCAGATAAAACCGCTGACTGGTTGTCTCGCCATGACCGCATTATGCCTTATATTCAATAAGATACTGACAATGAGTTGCCCTCAGAGGAGTATAAGGTGTGGTACAATTGGTGTCCTGTCCTTTGATACATAATGTCGTTAACCCACCCAAAGACATATTGCAACCTCATATCCATGAAGAAGAAGAGTGGTTCGTGCTCATGAACCACATTACATAATGAGATCTCGAGGTTATGAGGACCAGTTGGTACGTTTATATTGACCTATAAATTCTTATAGTATTTTATGTATCCATTAGTTCTATTCAATTGTTTAAATATGCTAATTATGTAATCCTGTTGTGCAGGTTAGTGCAGTTAAAGCATCTATAGTCATGTTAGCAAAAGCACTTACACTTAGACAGAAGTGGTACCTTGAAGTTTTTATTCGCGTTAACAATGCGTTTGAAATGTTATCTAAATTTGTTCCTGTGGATATGAGTGACGTAGAAGCCAAGATAGAGCATTTACAAGGTCAATATAATGATGAAGTTGTACCTGAAGAGGGAGGAGATGATGGAGTGGGTCAAAGTAGTCGGGTTGTAGATGATCTAGCTCCCTCCACACAACATGCAGTTGAGGAACCCAGAAAATATAACACGTGAAATAAACAGTATTAGCTTAAGAGAAGGCGAGGGGTGTAATGGGTCATTCTGAGGATCCCAATTTGTATTGGTCATTTTGTAATGTATTGGTCATTTTGACATACCCAGCTCTGGGCTCTCTTTATTATATTATAAGATGGTGTTTTTAGATGGTTATGTTTGACATGAGTCTCGAATTGATCCACCCTAAGTATATAGAGCTAGCATATTTTTTATGAAAAGTTATAGTATATGTATTATTACTACTCATTAAATATATTGCAGAATCTTCAATATCACTCTTGCTATCAATGTGTGCTTGTTGTGCTTATGTGCCAATATCGGTCATCCTTTCTTTCTCTTCATTTTTGGTTGCTACATGGGGCATCTTGAGAAGACTTGGAGTCTAGGTGAAATTTGATCGTTAGTGGTTGCATATGTGTATAGGGTTTAGCATCATATTACTGCTTAGAGCTATCCAGTATACATTCAATATAAGATTAATGGGATTTATTAATTTAACATTATTTACATTACTTCTTGTGATTGATGGTGGTGAAAATAACAGCTACAGTGCATCCAAAATCATATAATCAGCAATGGACACAATATGAAATCAATGAAACAACATGCAATGAATGTTGGTTCAATCACCATGAATGTTGGTGCAATGAGTTTTCGGATGTTTAACATCCGAAAATATGATGTTCAACATCCGAAAATATTACTTTTTTGGATGTTGAACATCCAAAAACTCATTGTGAAAATCCAGGAGATTCCTAGATTTTGACAGTACCATTTTCGGATGTTGAACATCCGAAAATATCTCAATTTCGGATGTTGAACATCCGAAATTGTTTAGACATCACATTAATCATGGACATCATGATGCGTTGACATGATAAAAAAATGGACATCATTTCTGGATGCATGGACATGAGAATAACTCTTCGAGATGTATGGATATGAATTTTATTTTCTTAGACTTTAATTTTATTTTAAGGCTATCACAAAGGTTTCCAATATTGAAATTATCTATCTCGACACAAAAGCTTGGCAAACTCATCCATTAGAAGATTTATGACAACAAAGAATTCTGATTGCACTAACACAATTTTGACAACAAAAACACAATATTCACTCAATTCATTAATTCATGAAAATCATAATTCCATACAAGAATACAATATTAATATCAAGTTCACTCTATCGGTTCTCTGCATGTCCTCCTATTATGACCCTATGCGCCGCATCGTTTGCACTTCAAAGATCTAGTGATCGAATGTTCCGTCTCGTATATTCTTCGTTGCTTTTTTGGCCTACCGGGAAGCCGTGTAGTTCTTGGTGGTAACACTGTCCGGTTGTAAATACCTATCAACTCAATATCATCCAGGATAGGTGTAAAGGGAGTTTCAAATGCCCTTCTAAAGTATTCCACTGTAAAATACTTAAGGCAGTACACAATGCGATCCATATGCATATGGTTAATGGCCGCAATAGCATGGGCCCACGGAATGCCACTGAGTTGCCATGTTCTACAGCTGCATGTCCACTGTATTAAATCGACAGTGTACTTCTTCCCAAGATAGTGGATCTCAAAAAGCGTGTCCATGGCGGATATAACTTTGTACAAAAATCGAGTCTTCATCTTTCACATGTCAAGTAATTCTTGGGCCTTCGGTACTAGCATGCCGCTCCAAGTATTATCTAACTCCCTCTTCTCTTTAAACCTGGTCATCAACTGTACCCTTATTACTTCACACATTGTAATGATCGGCTTCTCTCGAGCCGATAAAATCCAAGTATTGAAAGACTCGACCATGTTTAAGATAAGATGACTGTATCTAGACCCTGAAAAATAGGCATCTGCCCAAAATTTGGGTAGAATATTCTTAATCCAATCATATGCTTCTGGGTCAGCACACTGTATATCAAACATTATTTTTTCAAACCCACCAATAGTCGCGTTACAAGCAACCCTCCAAAACAGCATCAACAATACTTTAGTATTTGTTGACCTCTTCATAAAGACCTTGAAGTTCTCTCCCATATGTTGCATGCAAAATGATGGAAAACATTTGGGAAATCATTTTTCTATTGCTTCTGGCAAGCTTTTCTGTCGATCTGATATCATGGTTAAGGCAAATAAATTAAGGTACCCATTTAATAGCTCACTCAATATACTTAAGAACCAATACCAACTCTGGTAGTTCTCATTTTCAACCACTACAAATGCCAATGGGAAGGGCCTATTATTTGCATTTAGTGCGATGACGCACAATAAAATGCCTTGATACATTCCTTTTAGTAATGTTCCATAAATACCAATTAGTGGCCTACATCCATTAACAAAGCCCATAATGCATGGACGATAAGCAATAAATACTCGTTTAAACTTGCCTTCATATGTGTGGATGCGAACTTCGGTTCCCGGGTTGATTCTTCTGATCTTCTCAATATACAGGGGGAGGTCATAATATTATTGTTCATGTTATCCATCTATCAACTCTCTTGTAACCTATTTTCCCCGCCAAGCTTGCATGTAAGAAAGCCTGACCCCGTGATCACGTTGAACATCCTTTACAATGTCTTTTGCTTTAAATTTTTGGTTGGTCAAGAAGGCAGCCTTTAATCTTTTACCCAATCACTACAAGTTAATAGCTGATGGACCATCTCCATTGAACCACTACATGTGTACTCCTTAACCATATACTTCACTTTAAAGTAGGCGATACTGCCAATTCGTAAGCACCACACTTGCCATGTGCATCCATCTACCTTGCAACTTGCCCACACCCGTCTTAATTCACTTTTGTCAAACTTTAAAACACACTTGTTGTGGATTGCAAAATCAACTAAATAATGCCGACATTCATTAACATTTTCAAAAAATTGCCCAATATTTAATTGAACCTCGTTACCAACTCCTTTACATAGACTCTCTAGTGGTTTGATATCTTCCATATCACGGTCTGGTATGAGCTCAGGGTTGGCGTCACTTGAATGTTTTGATCTTGCTCAGTAAAGCGTTACGCCAACTGTTGACAAAAGATATAGTGTAAGATGAAGCAACAATTTCTGCACATATAAGATTAAAATAGAGCAAATTACATATGAAAAAATAAATTGTAAATATACCTATTCCTTGAAGATGGGCCATCAGCAAACGATTCTTGTTGTGGTCTAGTAATATATATTACAATTCCTGAAGATTCCCCTCCCAACATAAAAGATACACCTATATCATCACTAACATCAATCAAATCAAGCCTACTATATAGACTTGTGTTGCGGCACATAATAGCTAATTTACTTGGATCAGACTTGGTTAAATTAGAAAAATAACTTTTTAGTTCCTTCAATTAACTATGCCTATTATAAATAACACGTCCGTCATCTGGATTCGTCTCCAAAGACCCCCCATATCGGAATACCAGTTACACTCCCTCAGTAGTTATCGTTAATACTACTGTATTAAATGAATAACAAAATTTGTGTTACAAAAAATCAATCCAAAAAATTGAGATATTTTTAACTACTTTAGGGTTCATAAAATATGAGTATTACATAATATATTGAAATAGTGTACTATTAAATTGTGAGTAATAAACATTAAACAAAAGAAAACAACAAATACTCACATAAACACAAAATAAACAACAAATTTTAATACAAACATACAAGTTTAACAATTATTTAGCCAAAACAAGGAATACAATGTATCAACATGATACAAACAACAAATAATTATATAAAACAAATAACTTCATCAATATTAAACAAATTCCTTGTATTAATAAAAACTACCCAACAAATATTATTAACAAAATAAAATATCCTAAAAAATAACAGATAATAAACTTCAAATAGTTAACCGTAAAAAGAAAGAGTAAGAACGGTGCCAATCACCTCCAAATAGTGAGTCAATCTCTTCAATTTTGTAGATTACTGTATTAAGGGACAGTAAAAAGGGTATGATGTTTCAATGCTTGGTTTTTCCCAACTTTATAAAAATAAAAATAAATAAGTTTCCTCCTGTACGAGGGAAATGTTCGCGCGAAAAATTTCGGATGTTCAACATTCGAAAATATCAAAAATTTAGATGTTGAACATTCGAAAATGACAAAAATCATTGTTGGAGCTGCGGCTATTTTCAGATGTTGAACATCCGAAAATTGTAAAAATTCGGATGTTGAATATCCGAAAAAGGGTAAAGTTGTTTTTTTTTTTTAAAAGGCGTTATGGAAGATAAAAAACGAACACAAATGTAATAAGGGAAAGCATTTGGTAGATCCGTTTCTTTAAATAAATGTGTGATTTGTATAAGGTCGAGGCTCAAAACAATGAAAATAGGACGCACATTTAAATAGTACCGAAATACATTGTTTTAATATTAGAAATCTTTATAATGCTTGAAAATTTATTTTTATATTTAATAATAAAATTTAAAATTAAAAAATAGTGTAGATTGAGCCCAACAACCTATTTACGAATGGGAGTATTTACAATGAGACCATGTACCTTTGATATAGGGTGGTCACAATTACTTGTAACCATCCAGTATTAAATTTGATATATACAATGAGACTATGTACTTTTGACAAAAAGTGGTCACAATTATTTGTAACCATCGGATATTAAATTTGATACCTTGGATGTTCAAGAAATTTTTCTTTAAAATTTGAGCTTGGTCAACGGAATAAATTTAACCATTTAATTTCACATCCAATGCTCAAGATTAATTGTGACCGCCTGATATACTGTAGCCTTCGGTCGGGCCCGACCGGTTGCCACCAAATATCGACCCACATACTCACGAATCCAGTTGATTATTCCAAACATAAGCGAAGTTACGAGAACTTTGAGGTCGTTTCGTCTGTAAAGGCCCAATTTTCGTGTTTCTCTGAAACATTAAAACCGGAGTTTTGGGGCTGCTCCATTCAAATAAAACGCCAAGTGAAGAAGCCATCCGTTTCGTAGAGAGAGAAGGAAAATCAGTGATCCAGAAATGGCGTCGTCGTTTATGAAATGGTTCATGTCCCCCCGCCACAACTGGTTTGCAGCTCAGCATTGCAAAGCCATCTCTAAACGCCTCCGAAAATACGGTAGTCCCTGTCTCTTTCTCTCTCTCTTTCCCCTCTTTCTCTCTCCTCTCTCTCTCTGCCTTACTAGTTAATGTGACTTGTGGATCTATTAGGGCTTCGCTATGACGATCTCTATGATCCGATGTATGACCTAGACATCAAAGAAGCTCTGGATCGCCTTCCTCGTGAGGTTGTTGATGCCAGGAACCAGCGCCTGAAGCGTGCCATGGATCTTTCCATGAAGCACGAGTACCTCCCTGAGGATTTACAGGTACTCTCTGATTCCTTAATTGAACTTGCAATTTCTTTTATTTCTTGTTTTTTGTTACTCTGGAGCTTCGTTTCTTTTGATCTATTATGTTTTTTAGAGGATCATTTCTGTGATCCATTTTGGTTGTTGGGGAATTGGTATAATACTAAGAATATGGGTGTTAGTGGTTCCAATCGATTATGAAAATATTCATATTCTTCTCATGTTTTGTAGTTTTCAATGGCGTTTTCAATGTTCTTAAGCTTAGCTTGGGCCATAGACTTGCCCTGGCTGGACGAGTTACATTCCTAGAAAGGCTATAATTTTTTTAAAATTGTCGAATATAAAAGCATCAGTAAAAGCCGTAGTCTAAAAATCATGAAAAATTTATAAAAGATAAACAGTTCATGAAAATTTATAAAAGATAAAAAGTTCATAAATTATCAAAGCTATACAGGAATGTGTTTATACATTGATTTACTAAAGAAATATAATTTTTGTGAATTTATTTGTTATTATTATTTTTTACCAAGTTTGTACTACTACTATGCCGGGCAAGGTGCCGAGCCTGAGTTACTTAGGCCAGTTCCTGAACATTGTGTTTTTCAGATTTTGTTTGCATTTGAAGCACTCTAATGAATGACATTTGAGACGATGTATGATTCTCATGTTGAAATTGAAATGGATTCTATGTCTCTATACTTTCTTTGGGTTTTATTATGCACACTATGTTGTTTATACTTTAATTTATGGTTGATGAGCTGTTTCCATGTTAATCGTATAATTGTCCATTGGCAATCTCTAAAGGGAATATATATGGTATATTAACTATATTTAGAGAACTGAGAGTTACACACGCTTTGATATTAGGTGGAGAATGTAGAGATTAGAGGATTATCAGATACAAGAGAACCATGTGATGGAAAATTTATCTTCTGACATGCATTCCTCTCTGGATGGTGCATTTTACATATTTATTTTTGCTTTAGTAAGGAATACTGTTGAATTTCCCACCATATAATATGGCTAAATGGATTATTAGTACACATTCTCTGCGATAATAAAGGAAACTTTTTACAAACTGTATGATGAAAAAAGGAGATGGCCGTTATCACCTTCTCATGCAGTACTGTGAAAGTAAAATGTTCGACAAAGGGATTGGCAATCAACTCTTGAAGGCTTCTCATTTATCTATTTCAATGAAGTTACAGAAATTTGGATTTTTTTATGAATGATGAAAGGAACATGGCAGTATGAAAATGTGGAGCCTTGCCTTTAGATACCACCAAGAAAAATACCTCCTTGTGTTAGCAATCTATGGTCTATTGATAGCTATTGGCCAATCAAGAAACTTGTGTAGTCTTTCAATATTGATATTTGGCAATTTGGAGGTTTTGAGAATATAGGGGTGTTGAATTTGAAGGGGTTTCCATTTAATCTATTGTGGACACTGAACTTTAGTTTGGGTTCTACAAGATTTGAGTGTTTGATCAATTAGAAAAAAGGACTAATGCATTTTTGTTGTCATATTTCCTTGATCATTAGTTACAATGCCGTTTCCCTTCGTAAACGATAATTTCTCAAAAGGGGCAGTGAAGAATATGGTATTCTTCCTTGTCCTAGAATGCGAGAATTATTATTTTCTCCAGATTTAATTTTATGAATGATGACTGGGTTGTGTGAACAAATTATAGTTACCGGGAACGGAAGTGACAAGAGTTTCGGGATCGGGAACGGGAACACGGAGCGAGGTAGGTTCGAACATCTGTGGTTTAGGGAATGAGGTCCGTACATGGTCAAGTAAAGGGATCGAGATCCCTGACTTTTTGGGAGCTCATTCCATATCGTCACAGGAGCGAATTCTTTACTAAATGGGATTGCTTTCCTCCATGATAAGGATTGAGGTTCCCGAAGTTCACTTATCAACTGTGTTGTAACTTGGGAGCAAATACCATTGAACAATATTTTTTAACTTTTTTCAAATTCACAAACCTAGTATCAATGTGGACACAATTCATGTCATACATTTTGTTGTCATTGGAGTATGATCTTGCACATAGCGACAATAGAAATCCAATATGGTGATGTAATACCCAAGTCCTTGATCCTTGATCCCATGTTAACAATGGGAATGGAGGGTGATAAAAAGAGCACACCTACCTACATTGGTCTGCCTACAACATGTGGATCCATTACAAAAATTGCACGCATACCTAGATTGGTCTGCCCACAATGCACACGTCCTCATTTTTGGCACCAATCAGTTGGATTGGGCAACTCCCACTCTAATATCAAACGATGATTGATATAAGAATGTTGTGATAGATTGTTTTCAAAAAGAAAATGCCGCAATAGTTAAGTTAACCTTTGCAAAGTAATAAAAAGGTAAGACATTGCCATATAGAATTCCCAATAGCTCTCCTCTATCAAAGATTGCTAGGGTTTCAAAGATGTCTACTTGAGAGAGACCTCACATTTCCACGCATACATGTATTTCCATCACTTGTAAGGCAATCTCATGAGTGGCTCGATTTGGTTGACAAACACTCAAGCGATAGAAGTCCTTCAAGAGGTAGACAAGACCTAGTTAACTAGCTCCAAGGAAATTCAGCATATTGACATTCTTCAATTGAACCATAAAGCGACTAACGTTTGTATTTCCTTCCATCTTCTTGCTTCTCGCCTTGTGTTCATAAAATATGTAGGAAATCATGGAGTTCAAAAAGATTATAGGTCATAAAAATTTGAAGGTCCACACTCGATTGTATATGAATAAAAACATGTATCGGTGAAACTTGCTTCCAAATTAGACGATACTAGTTGGTAGAATCGTGGTTCCGCTTACTCATGGAACCATGATCTTTGGCATAGGGATCTAGATCCCAATAGATGGGATCGTGTTCCCCAATTTCCAGAATCGAGATCCCAACTATCAAGGAATCGCCTGGAATCGAGATCCCGTATCTCGGAGCGGGATCGAGCTTCCGGAGCGGAAGCGACCCCCTCCTTAGAAGATCCCGGTAACTATGGAACAAATCAACAAAAAATCTTTAAAAATTTCCTTATGAGATATATTCGGTCAATTAGAATGGAAGTTAAAGAAGGTATTTATCCTCGTTGTGTCCTTTCTATTTAAATCAGAACCTAGGGATCCATTCCCTTGACTCTTACTGATGAAAATTTCATTCCACGAGAAATTGAGCAAAAGCTGCTGAATTGGCCTATTTCTTGCGTGTGAGCGAGCCAAAGAGTGGAAATCAAGTTGGTTCGACCAAGAAAGGCATGGGAGTTTCGGGGCTCCAATTCAAGACTTGCTTTGGATTAATTTGTGGTCTGGTTTAAACAGGCTGGAATTCAGTTTATTGTGGCGCTAAATTTTTTTTGAACATCCTAAAAGATTTGAGTTGCTTGTTTATGGAATGCATAAGCTTTTCATTAAACAGCTCCATTTTATGACCGTTTCCACATTGTTGGTCCAATGGACCATAAACCATCATCATCATCGTTCGAGCCTTATCTTAACTAATTAGGATCGGCTGCATGAATCTTGTTTTGCTATCCCACTCTATTAAGGGCGGAGGGCCATACCCTCATGCATATTACAAGTCATCATATCTTTTATATTATAAGTCGCCATTTAGGACCTTTTCCTTGTCTTCTTAGAGTCCTCCACTTGAACCAAATCACTTCGCCTAATTGGTGTTGTTCTAGGTTGACACTTCACATAACCAAATTACCTAAGTCTACTTTCCCTCATTTTTTAGCCTACTGGAGCTACCCCCTGAATTCCCTCAAATGTATTTATTCCGAATCTTATCCATCCTTGTCTTGCCACTCAATATCCTCATCTCCGTTACTCCCATTCTATGGAAATGGACCACAGACCATAATAAATTTTTATTATGAGCTTTGGGTTTGGCACTTCAAGTGCCGAACTTAGCGCTCATAATGAAATTTGCGAAGTCCCATTTGGGTTGGCTGCATGTCCGATATGATACAATTTTTTTGTGAAAAGATTCGACACTTGAACTCATTTTTTCTACCAAAATAAGGGGTTTGGCACTTGAAGTGTTGGACCCATTTTTGACTTGAACAAGATTTTGGTTGGCATTTCAAGTGCCGCCAAACTGTGGGCAATTGGGGGAAAAATCTGACAAAAAAAGGGACTTGGGCATAAGATATAAATATTACGGGACTATTTTTTAATTCTGAAATGTAAAAGGTTTTTATGTTAAATCCCCTTTTTTAATTATTTCCTGGTTTGTAATGGATTTAGAGTTAGGGTCTCTAGGAGCTAAAGTTGTTTGATCTTTCTTATATTGCTTAAAAGCCTTAGATCATTTAGTTTAATTACGAAGCTTTCTTGATTGTTTTAGAGTTCAAGAATGGGTTAGATTAGGATTCGGCAATTACTGTGAATAGAGTTGTAGCATATTTGCCATGGCAATCAATACTTGAGGGGAAAAAATTGGGTTTTCAATTTTCGAGAGAGATTCTCAAATCTTTTTGTTGAGACAGTGATACAACGATACAACTCTAGCTTAAGATGGAAGAGTTTCCCCAACAAGTTAAGAGCCTTCTTCTTTCCCTTCTTGTGTGCACATCCCCACTAAAAATTACCCACAATCAAATTCCATTCAAACCCTTCCAAAAACCTAGCCAAACTCTCCAAACCCTAGGAAAACTAGCTCGAAAGCTACCCTAACCAAATACCTACTTCTAACTTGAGTTTAATTTTTAGATTTGCCCTAGTTCAACACTAGATTCATCTTATCATCCTCCTATCTTGCTGAACCTGCTAAATCCCAGCAAGTTTTAACCCCTTTAGAGGCCTTAATACCTATATCCTGAACCTTGCCCTAACCTAACCCAACCCTTCCCATAGCCCTAACCCTTGTTCTACTTCATAGACCTTATATTACTCGATCCTATCCAAATTAGGAAACCTTCATAAGTCCCAAAACTCTGCTGTTAAACTGAAATGATTTAGAACTCCTAAATTCTAACCTAAGAAGCATTCCTAATTGTACTTTCCACACCTACCTTACATGTCAGACTCGCGCAGGAACCAAGCCTCCATGGTACTAGATCAAAAGGTTCGTCTATCAATATGGCTGTGAGGTGATGAATGTTATCTGTAGAATTTATTCTTGAAAAAATTATTTGTAGGATAGTTTAATACATTGCTTACAACAACTTGCTGTCATTCTCGCTGGCACGGCAGAAAGCAAGCACTGTACTTTCCAAGGCGGAGAATCCTTTTCATTGTTGTTTGAGTTATGAGTGCTCTCTATAGAACCATGCCCACTGTTGTTTTCCATGCCAATGCATCTCTTATAGTAAAATTTTCTAAACGATATGTGAAAGCTAAATTACTGGTTATATTAAAAAAAATAAAAACTATTGGATTAATTGGAGTTTTCACTATTCTGATAATTGTGTACTTTGTAGAGTTGGGAATAGTGTGGAACTACAACATTAGTCCATCTTCTAGAGGCAGTTGCAGGGATGTTGTCCGAGTTTGCTTTGCAAATGGCCAAAGGATGGATCTGTGGGCCCTCGGCCCTCTGGTTGTATTTTCAAGAATTTGACAATAGATGAATGTACCATCTTTTAAGGTTCAGCCAGAAGGGCTTAGGGTGTTTTGTGCTTGATGACTTGTTTGATGTCATTTTCCGGTACTTATTCTCCATTTAGGTGGGGGTTACCTATATGTGAACAATAATTATGTGGGATGCAGTCGGGTTTTTATTCTTGTTTCAAGCTTGTTGAGAGGCTTGGATGTTATTTTCTATGAGTATGTTGAGCTTTATATGATGCAACACATAAATCCACTTGGGAAGAGGCTGTTTTCGGTGTCATTTTTGGAAATGAGGATATTATGGTTGTCCTAGATGTTGGGGTCAATCTCTAGTCAATTTATCATCGAATGAGGTACGATACTATGATTGCTGATGACTGTGGGAGTAAAGTGGTTTTTTTTTAGATCCAATGACTTTGGTAGAAAGACCTGCAGTGGCTTCTGTCTTTATTCTTCGTTAAAACTGGAGCTCTGTTGGTTTTATTGTTGTTTGAGAATCAAAATATTGACCTTGTGGTTGGAGACACCAAATGCGTAAGGAAAGTTTGGCCGGTGATGGTGTAACTAGTTCTGGGCCTGCTGGGCTAGGGGTTTGGGGTTTGTAATATGGACTTTAACTTCTTGATTTCATTTGATTAGTAGTTTGTTTATTTGAGTAGTGCGTTTCTCTCTTAAAACCAATGTGTATTTCAACTATGGTAGTTGGGTTGGGTTTTTTAGCTCTCTCCTGATTTTATTAGGAGGATGTGTTTCCTTCTATTATCGAAGTTCCAATTTTTTTCTCTGTTTCCGTTGCCATAACAAGCAAGTAAATGCCATAAGATGCTAAATGTACATTAACTTCCCCCCCCTCCCACCAAAAAAAAAAAAAAAAAAAAACAAAGAACTGAGAGAATGAAAAAGCTTTGAAGTGTATATTACCTTTGAAGTATACAATGCACATGGATGGGGTTGCTTTTCATCTGGGAATATTTGATTAAACGCAACATTGAGAAAATTCTAGAAATTACTATTCTCGTTTTCTTTGAAAGTTCAATATCTGTTCTAATTGTTTAAAGATAGGTTTAGCCTTTAAATATTGATCAGCCCCCTAGTTCGGGTTATGTTTTCAGAATATATCTATTAGAATTTCAGAGCAGTTTTCGCTGGTATTGTATCATGTTTTCAAGTCAAAGTCCAAACTAGATTTTTCAGTCATGGAATAGCAGCTAAAATTTGTTGCTTAAATTTGTGAGCCTAGTGTTTTTAATCTAAACAAGGTTGCTCACGTATTAAATATATGTGCCGCCAAGATTTGGTATATTGAGATTGTAGACTTCCTATTGTTTCAATTAACATTCCCTTCTTGATAGCAGTTGCTGGTGATGCTCTTCTTTAAATTATGCTTTTACTTTCCTGCTTAACCTCTCTTTGCTTAGGGATCATTCTATACAAAGGAAGGACCTTGGGTTTTCACACAGTAATTTTCTACTGATGAATATGTATGTGTGTGGAACATTGTCCCTAGTTTCGGTTTGTATCTTAATTGTTTTATAAACAATCATGTAACCTTCATAACCAACCCTTCTCACTTTTCTTTTTTCTGGTTTTGCTCAGGCACTGCAGACACCCTTTAGAAGCTATCTTCGGGATATGTTGGCAGTGGTATGTGCTTTATTATACTTTAATGTCTTTGAGCTTTACTACTTTTCATAGCAAATATGAATAAATTGACCATCATCATCATCGTCAAAGCCTATTCCCAACTAATTGGGGTTAGCTACACGAATCGTGGTTCGCCATTCTGCTTTATTAAGGGCCATTACAGGCTATAGGTCCCCATATCTTTTGTCACTACTTCCAACCATGTTCTTTTGGGCCTACTCTGAGTCCTTTTTGAGCCTTCCACTTGAACTAACACGCACCTCCTAATAGGTGTTATACTGGGTCTGCATTACACAATACAAGCCCACCTAAGTCTACCTCTCTCATCTTATCGCCTATTGGTGCCACACCTAAATTCATTATTTAGATATGAATAAATTGACCATGTTTTCAAAATACTAAGCGGTCTAAATTGTCTACAATAATAGTGCATTGCTTTCTTCATAAGGTAATTGAATCTATTGTGCTATCCTCCCCAATTTTATCTGATGTCCTCCTGATACTTTTGTGCCTCCTTGTTTGCTGTGGTTTGATTCGCTGTGGCTACGATAGTACACTGCTTTCTTCAAAAGCGAATTGAATCTATCTTACTACTCTCCCCAGGTTTATCGAATGTCCTCGTGAAACTTTTGTGCTACCTTGTCTAATTTTAACTTGGCTTTTAGAAAATTATTGTCATATCTTGCTCTTGGAATTTATCAATGAGTTAGTTTTTCGAGTTATTCTAAAATTATTTTTTTCTAGAGAAAATTATGGAAAAAATAAAGGGGCCATTAAAAAAGAAAAATTACAATAAAAAATTTCTATAATGTAGAAAATAAACAATTATGAGAATGTTCATTTTACTTTTAATTTTTTTGAAGGGCTTGGTTGTTGTCAGGCTAGCCTTACCTACCCAAAACAGGTAAGGCTGCAGTCTTTTGCATGATCCATATGTATATATATATATATATATAGGCACGCAAACGCATGCGCACACATTTTTTGGGGTATGTAAGGGGTCATAAACCTTTATAGAATTACATACACACACACATTTTGGGGTACGTAAGGGGTCATAAACCTTTACAGAATTCCTAAGGGGTCAAAACATCCCATTTCGCATTAGATAGTTCACTTCTAATTTTTCATTTCACTCTCAAAAAGTATCCTAAAGAATGTTGTGCTTCTTTAGGGTTGGGACCCGGAATAAGTAGAGAAATTTTATCATGAACCCATCTAAGAGGCCCGAACCAAATAATAGAATGCCCTTGCTTGTTCAAGGTAGGTAAAATTACTGAAATACCGTTGCTTATTGAGGGTTCCTAACCCTAAAAAGGGTATTTTTAAAGATATCTTTGAGGAGGTACTTGAGTGAAATGAAAAATAAAAAGTAAACTCTCCAATGTTAATTTAGACCTTTTGAGTTTTGACTCCCCTTAATGATTTTGTAAGGGGATTTGACCTCTTTAAATGATGTATTTCCTTCCTTTTGTTCTTTGTTTTTGAATATTGACTTGGGACTTAGTAAGAATGGAACTCAGATGTCATATTGTGGCCACCACTGTTCTGTTTACATCTCTCTCATTTTCTCTCCAGTGCTCTTTGTTAAACCTCTTTCTTATTCTCAAAGAAAGCATTCCTGTCTCTTTAATATGCAGTTATTTCAAGCTCTACTGGTGTATCTTGAACCAAAATATATAAGAAATTCCCCAAAAAATACAAAGTAACATACAATTGAGAGAGAGAGAGAGAGAGAGAGAGAGAGAGAGAGAAAGAAAGAGAATCGTCACCATTATTGTATTCTCTGCTGTTCTACTCAGAGGTGTATTTACCATTGGTAGTATGAATTTTTGATTAGTGTATTGACGTGTTTCTAAAGATAACTATAATTCTTAGCTCTCTGTATGTCATACAGTTTTAATGAGAGTTTTATCACATAGCCCAGTGATTTGGAAATCTAATCTAGGACAAGCTTCTTGGTTTGAGGGCCTAGTGATTTGGAACTATAGTATTGGGGCTAAGTCCGAGTTCAAATGCTATGTCATGTTTATGGATAGAAATTTCTAGTCAATCAATTACAGTCTACTTTGGAATGTGGTGTGTTTTGAACATAGTTATTGGGATCTCCTACTTTGGTAGGTGATCGATTCTAGGATCTCGATTTTGTCGTTCTCGGAACGAATCTCTCAGGGATCTCGATTTTTAAATTTTGGGATCTCAAACCCGACTTATAGGGATCCTAATTCCTATTGTTAGGGATCTCGATCCCAACCTTAAATACTAAGACAACAATCAAACTGATGATTTTCTTTGTTTATAGCCAACTAACGACACAACTATTGCTTGCTTACTATCAATAATTAGATCTTTACTTTAAAGAGTATACATAATCTTTAGATTATTATACACTTTAAGGTTGGTAACAAGATCCCCAAAAAGTTGGGATCAAAATCCCAAAAGGTCGGGATCAAGATCCCCAAAAGGTTGGAATCTTGATTCCTAACATTTGGGTATCTCGATCCCTATCATGTGCATTGTACGGATGAATAAACAAGAATCTATCCTTCCGGGTGCTCGCTTTCTTCATACCTGAAAAAAAGAAATAAAAGTGAACTACTAAAAATAGACAACATTACTTTTTGGTCCTGGAAATAAACAATAGTAATGGATAAACCACAAACCATTGATTATATTCACTCATAGTCTGCTTCTTTTTTCTGTGTTTTTGACATGTATTGATGAATCGTCCTGTTAAGGCTGGGTAAAGGGGTAGGTTGGCTTGTTTTTTGTCTTTGGGGACAAACTTCAAGGCTTAAACACTTGACCTCCTGCTGACACACTGGGGTGTCTACCACTAGGCTAAAGACGAAGGGACAAAAAAATGGAGGGAAAAACAGAACACGTTATGGACGTGAAGACAATGGAGGGTTCTGTGCTTATTTTTACCCTCTATGCACAGGGATGTTTTCAGACCTTCCAGATCATCTTTTGATTATGTGGTTGGTGGTGGTGTTGTTGTTCGTGTTTTGAATAGATGTTATTAATGTTGTGGTTTGGTCTTAGACTTTTCGAGTGTATCTTCAGGTTAGGTGTTTGTTCATTAGATTTGTTTTGTTCTCACTGTTTATTGTTTATATGCATTGCTCGCTACTTGAATGTTCGGGACTGGACTAAAATTGAGAAAAAACATCTTTTAATCTCCATGAATCCTTGAGAGGCTAGATTTTTTAATAAATCTTGGTACTTACGCTGTTTAGTTCATGATACTTGGTTGTTTCTTCATTTCAATGCATGGAACTAGAAGTTCAGGTTCGAAAATGTTAGCGCTAAACAAATTATCTATCGGTTGTGATTTTACATTCAGTTCTTTCATAGTTCAAGCTATTAAGTCTTAAATGACCTATATGGTTTCTTCTGTGGTTCCTTTTTGCAGGTGAAGAAAGAGCGAGCAGAGCGTGAAGCCTTGGGGGCATTACCACTTTACCAGCGTTCCATTCCGTGATCTTATTGTCTTTAGATGCTTGCACTTGCTGTCCTACAGGCTCTTTAGAGGGAATAAAGGGCTTAGTATAGTTGAGACTGGTACCGAGCATATTTTGTGGCATTTGAATTTGGAAAATGTTACTCTTCCTACGTCATTTAAATCTCCTCCTAATACTTCTAATAAACAGTTCTTAGATGGACTTATTAAGCATATTCAAAGTTTGATTCCATTTTTATTCATGTTTATCAGCTGATGCTTGCACTTCCATTGTGGGACTAATTTGCAGATCTTTGCCCCGGAGGACACTATTGAGAGAGGGAAAAATGTTTTCTTTAGTTCTAGGGTTGGGACTAGAATTTCTACCTCCATCGAAATTGGTATACAAGACCTTAATCAAACGATATGATTTCAATTTTTTTTCCAATGTTGCAGAATTCATGGTAAAAACCGTATTATTGGATGAGTGGTTTGGACATGATCCATTCTTTAGTCAAAACAAACTGAATCGGAAGAACTTGGAACTAACTGAAGTGCCATATTTCACGTACTGTTTTACGTATTGTTTGCTGTTTAATTGAACGTCGTCTGCATCACAGGTTGGGTATTTTGCTATTGCATTTTGAGGTCAACAGAAGGCTTTAGCTGCTTGTGGGGAGCAGGTTATGTTATTACCTAGGCGTTTTTAATCTTGCACATGGGCAAGCAAACGAATGCGTGCCCCTGGGGCGATTCGAGTAATCAATAGTGTAGATGTGGTGAAGTTGTGAATGCTTGAAAATGGACAGTTGAAATAATGTGTTATGATATAATAGTTTAAAAGCTTGAAATTATTTTTTGGTTTCAGATTCTTAATTATCGGGATGAAGGATTTGAGGATTTTTCAACATTGAAACAATATTGTTCGGTGATTCTTGTGTTGCAATTTTATTTAAGGGAAAATACATAATGAGATCATTTATTTTGGTACAAGGTGGTCACAATGAATCTTGACTATTGGATGTGAAATTGGATGGTTGTATTTATTTCATTGACTAAGTTTAAAGTTCAAAATAAATTTTTTCGAACTTTGTGACATACCGAGGATGGTTGTAAATAATTGTGATCTTTTTATACCAAAGGTAAATGGTCTCATTATATGCAATCTCTAATCTTTTTATTAAGTTGTGGCCTTGTGCTTGCTTTTCCTATTAGCTTCTAGTTGCTAAGATTAGTTGTTATGAGTTTTCGTATATTCACGAAGGCATGCTTTCTGTGAGTTGTGAGTCGGCTGACTCATCTTTTAAAATGAGTCTTCTCCCCAAAATCTATTTTGGAAATGGATTTCATATTCACAATTCTAGGGAATGAAAATCTCCGCCGTGATTTATAGAAATCTAAAAAACATATACTTTAAAATAAAAGATTAATATGATTTTGACACCATCAATTGTAAATTTTTGATTTTTTAACTAATATATAAGTAGATGGATGTTTACTGCGTTAGGCTGACATTATTGTAGAAGTGCGTATACAATGATTGATTTGTATTTGGAAAATTGTTTCATGTGGCCGGGACCATATTTCTACATTTGGAGTCCCCGAGGTATAAAGCATCCATCTTAAAGATGGATGCAAATAGGTGGTCCATCTAAAAACAATTGAAACTAACCATTCAAATGTTTTTTTGATAGAATTATTATTTTTAATTTTCAAAAGTTATTTATTTTTTCATATTCATGATCTCCTTTTTAGAGATTACATGTTCTAAAAAATTTAGGTCAAAAAAATCATCTCAAAAATATATTTTTAAAAGATGACTCATTTGTACATGGATTCATAAAAACTGTCCCTTGTATTTTGCTTTAGAGGTGCGTTTTTGCATGCACCTGTATACACCATCTGTCTATTTATTGGTACGTTTTTTTACGCATTGATTATTTGCGCCTAAAAAACCACCAATTTTGGGGCCTCTTGTTATTAATTTTAATTTTGGGTGCTTTTTTGTCTTTATTCTAGTAGGAGGATTGAAAAAGATAAGAGGTATGCCCAAAAAGATATAGTGGGAAGTAATCCAAAAAGATATAAGGGTTTATGGCTACATTGAGAAAATGACATTTAATAATGAAGGATCAAGATTTGCATAGCTGACCTCAATTAATTGAAAAAAAAACTATGTTGATGATGATGATTCTAGATGATTAATTAAAAGCAACTTTAGCTTACAAGGTGAGTGGTTTCTCTCCATGGGTTCTCTCTTTAGAAAGATAAAAGGAGAAAAGGAAAAGAGAGAAAGGCAGGGGTTGACCAAATAGATTTAGAAGTCTAGTGAGCTAGCATTTATTCAATTTAGATTTTTTATTGAGATAATATTGTATGTTATATTATAATCTTCTCTTTGATAGCATATTATTACCCGGGGTGTAAGCAAGTCGGGTTGGGCTTGGCTTGACAAGTCAAGGTTGGATCTAATTTGACCTGGACTTGGTTGGCTCCAAGGTGATCAGTCCTAGAGGCTCTGTTGAGTTAGGTTATATGTATATATGTATATAAAAGATAATCTAACTTCACAACCCTTCAAATTACAAATGTTAAAGATAGAGAGAGTTGTGAAGGGTAGATTTATTAATTTTGTAGTCTATTTTTTTTTAAAAAGTTACTTTTATGGGGCAATTTTGTAGATATTACTACATGACAAATAATTTTTTTATCATCTCCATATGAGATAAAGTTGAAATTTTAACGAAAAGACAATGGCACTCTACAAATAAAGTTTCAGGACACTAACTTCCAAAATGCCATTGTAGTTTTTGTTAAAATTTCAAATTTGCCATTGTTTATTGTTAAAGTTACCTATTTAAATAAATTTTTAATATATATATATATATATATACACACACACACACACACACACACACACACGACTATAAGAC